AATGGATTTAATAGCTTGAATACTGAGGCTATTCCTCTTGCAAGCTGATCTTCACATACTGAACTGGCTAGATACAAGCCAATGTGAATTTTTATAATTAACGCATTTAGCTGTGGCAGTGATAACCCTGATGAAACAAATATCTTGTTTGATTTTCTTTCTCTTCACAGTAAGACCAATAAGTTGGTTTTTCCCCTATAAAGTAAAATTACTCCACTTTTAAAGAAAATGTCCTTTTCTGCAGTTTCCTGTAGTGTACAAGTCAAATATGCTGTTTTTAATATCATACAGACAACATCGGCAACATCAAAAACTGAAAAATGTAAGTCAGGGCCTCCAGAATAATGGTGTAGAATGAAAAAATAATTTTTAAATGGTTCTATATATTAGGTACTGCATTCTTTTCCACTGTTGAAGTTTTCTGGATTCTCAGTACAACCAGAGACTAAAAACTTAGTCTTTTAAAAGGAATTAGATTTTCATGTAATCAAATTACCCCGGGAATGAGAGCTTTAAAGAAATTATTGTTCTAAGTTTCAAGATAAAATCATTAGATCTGACAATACTGGTTGCAGTTTATGTCGGCTATGTTTCATTAGGTTATATACAACACATAAAGCCATGACAGGCTTCTCAAGGTCAGTTAAGAGCAAATACAAAAATGAGTAGTAACAAGGTCTGACCACTCACAGATCACCAGAGAAGAGAGGGAGAACAGAGAATAGAGATTTCCGTCTCTCTTAAATCACATTTACACACGGCATCATGTAAGTGTGATTTGTTGGGGCCGTCTACACTGGGAGAAAAGGATTGGGTTGTTACCAGTGCTGAGGGACAGGGAATGGAAATGTCTGGGGTTTCTTCTTCTTCTTCTTCTTCTTCTTCTTCTTCTTCTTCTTCTTCTTCTTCTTTCCCCCCCCTCCCCCCCAACCTTAATTTGCTTGCCTTCCTGAAGAAAAGACCTTGCTGTATCCTTTCTGCTGAGTCATTTCTCTAGAGGATGCCAATTTTAGGGACTCATTAAAAGGAATAATCTCTTCCTAAGGAAAATCCCAAGAATGCTTCAAAGCAGTCTCCCTGTCCAAGCTGTTCTGCAGTGGTTCTCTGGTATAATTATGTTTTTTTTTCCTTTGGGTTAGATGTGCTGAGCAGTGACTATTTCAGTTACAATTCTTGGATCCTGACTGTAACTCTTACATGGGACTGGGACTTTTGGAGGACTTTGATGGGACTTTTGCTTTGTCTCTATTGGGATAATCTTAATTCCTTTGTTGGAGGTGGCCTTTGTCGCTTCAGCTTTCTTATCCTGTATGGATGGTGTTGGATTCAGATTTGTAGTTCTCTCAGGCTACCTGTTCAGAGCAATAATACAACGAGTTCCTCACCTCCAAATGTGCCTTTTTTCTATCTCTACATACACACGTGCCTTGATTAGTATGTTTTGGTGATACTATATTTGCTTCCTTACTGAAGACAGTTTGGTCTCCATAAAGAACATATGCGAGTATCCTAGGTAAGGATGTATTGCCATTGGAGGATGTGACATTTCAGTTGGTTTATGCCTAGATAACATAACTTGTTACTAATGAGTCCTCTTCCTTGAGCATCACGTATGCTAAATCCTTTGGTATATCTATTTCATGGTCAGACTTATACTTGAGATCACTAGAGCTGTACATTTACTACTCTAGAGTTTTCCTGAACTTTTGGCCTCCTTCACCTGGGGCTGTTCCATCTGGGTTGGGATTCACGGCAGGTGCTTATGTGATATGTTACAGAATTATTTGCCCATCTATCTGTGTTTTTCTTTGATATGTCTAATGACGAGTTTCCTAAATGTCATTTGACATACTCTAGAGTGTGTGCATGGTATCAGTTGTAACACCTTGTTCTTTATTTTACTTTCAGCTATATTCCTACCTTTTAAGCTAACCCTCCCCTCCCTTTTCTGCTGCCCACAGAGATAGCTCCTTCCCTCCCCTCTGGTTGCCAGAGTGACTGGGCTTCCCAGATGCGGATGCTCTTGCCTTGCTCCTTTCCATCCCTCTCCTAGAGACTGGAGTTTTCCCTTTCCCTCGGATGGCGAGGACTCCAGTTTGCTCTCCTGCCTGCCCAGGCAGCTGTTCTCGCTTCTAAGCAGACCTGGGTTAGCAACTGCTAAAAGGACAAGTGATTTCATGCGCCTGCAGGGTGGGATCAGCGAAGCCTCTGAGTGAAGTGGAAGTTACCTTGCATTATTTTTCCTTTTTTTTTGGTCTCTGATCCTTCTCCTTGAGCTGGAGTCCAGCCAGTTCTCACTTTCTTACTGTGGTGTGATGATGAGAAAAAGGACCCTAGAGTGGTACATATGCAGCAGAGGTAAAGCCTTTTTTATTTGTATTTCAGAATGGATAAATTCAATTTCTAGTGTTAGTGACATCGGATCATTGCAGTACTTGGAAGCACATTTACACATAGAGGTTTTGCTGAGCTTTAACTCAGAAATGAATAAATCTCAGGATAGAGCATCTCTGAATTCAGGTGCAGAATTACAGGTTGTTCAGAAACTTCATTGAAGGAATTTGGCTGGGTTTTGTCACTGAGGAAACAGATGTCATGTGATCTTTATGTTTAGCCCAAAGAGCCAAAATTTCAGATTCTGCATGCCTGTCCCAGGTTGCTGGTAAATATGGCCCCATCTTGGAATCACTTTCAGAGGTCAGCCAGCGAACAATTTTGAGTTACAAATCAACGCAGAGTTGCAGCTTGCCTGGGTATGACTCAACCACAACCAAGAAGTAGTATTTTTAGTCAATTAAGTTCTCTGAGTTATTTGTCCAGTTCTAGCTAAAATGCTCTTTTGAGGTCCCAGGAAAAAAATCCTAGGTGTGGCAGGCTAAGAATTTAGGGATGGAAATCTAGGGAATTTCAATCCCTAGGGATGGAAAGCCTACTATTTAGTAGTTCATATTCTTGGCTTTTTAACAAGGCATGAGTATTTTGTCTCGTATATCCCCTTATGTTTTAAATGATTGAAATAATAGGACTTTTAATACTCTGTTCTGCGCTTCTGGGACACAACGACAAAATGCACTAGACTGGTGCTGTAAGTGTAAATTATGTCATGTTTCCAAATACACGGACAAAGTGGTCCTCTGCTCAAGTTCATCCTTCGTCCTCTCCTCTGCACTTTAAACATTCCACCTTTTGAGCTTGCTTCAATCCAGTTTGCTTGTTTTTAAAGTAGTGATATATATGCAGATCTCTAAGTAGCAATGTCATCTGTCGTTTATAGGAAATCCAGGAACACCAGCTATGCTGCAGCTACCAGATATACTTACAACCCTCAACATGCTTCCCTTTCTAACATACGGTTAATTATTTTTAAAGCACACAACATATTACATCTAGCCGAGCTCTGAAACAGTACGTGCTGGTTCTTTTTTCATGAAGAGTATTTATAAAAGCCTTTTCTGCAGTGGTTGGGAAATTAAGATAAAATGCATGGGGCTACTTCCATTGACAAAGTTAGTAGGAAGCACTTGCTAGCGCAGAGTTTGTAATGTTTTTACATCTAGCTGTAAGAAGGCTGTTCTATATTTAAAGCACTTCCTTGGAAGAAGCATTGGAACAGTGTTACAGTTTTTCCTGCCAAAAGTAATAGCTGTGGAAGGCTGCAAGAGCACCAGACTGGTGACTGAAAGGTAATAGTCTTCCTATGCAAATGTAAGTTAAGATTCAAGGGGTTAAATAGAACAGGGAATGATCTTAAATTTCAGCCTTCTGTGCAGTCCTTAGTTTTATTCAAAGACATCAAATATCATGACATGTCTTCATTATGACTGTGCTGCTTTGACTTACTGCTTAAGCAATAAAATATATACAGATTTTTGTATGGTGCACACCATGCTGTGCTATAAATGTAAAAATGATTTTATTCATCAATATGCAATGCTCTGAGGAGAGTCTTGTCTTATAGCAGTGGCTGGGGCAGGGAGTTTATCTGGCCTGGGTTTCCTCAACACTTTTGGAAGGGCAGTTTGCAAATGAAGTGCAGGATTCATTACAGAGATTAGTCAAGGTTATTTGATGAATTTGGACATTAATACATCTGAAATAACTTTTGATTATTACTTTCCTCTATTTTGTTATTAGAATAACAAATCTTTAAAATGCTGAAATATTCACAACAGTGTTATAGAGAAGATCCTTCGTGTATGATACAGGCTTGATTTATTTGCCCTGAATTCACGTGGATGACTTAGTTGAAAAGGGTTTAAATGCAGTTAGCAGTTCAGCTAGCATTTGACATTACTGCTACAATATGTACATATAAATGTGGGCAAATACAGAATTCTGTTAGCATGGAATTATGATTTTGGGAGGCACAGCTTTTAGGTATCAGTATCTGCGAAAATACTTCATCTGTCTCTCATCCTTTAATCTTTACACAACTACTGAAATGTAACATTATAGCATTATAAAAATTAATGCATGTTTCTTCCTCCTTAAAGATTTGTCTGTATTCACAAGGGAAGATACCCGGCTATTTTAAAAGTAAGGATGTCAGAGGAAAATATTCTTTTAGCTGATGTATCCAAACAAGAGATTGCTTATAACTAGAGAGTAAAGCATGGTGAAGAGAAAACTCCACAATGTCAGTTTGAGAGTCTCAGTGCTGACAAGTTAATATAACTTACACGAGCAACTGCTGCTTAGGAAGGAAAAACAGTGCTGTATTAGAGCTGCAATATCTGTTCTGTCCAGAAGCTCTTCCCTGTGTTTTAGCTAACAACTAGTAAAATACTTTGTTCATGTTATTCTTAATTGATTATCATGGTAGAACTAATTTAAGCCATTGTTGCATGTTCTGTTACAGACTGTTTCATTACCAGCGACAGTTTTGAACTTCATCGCTATGGATTTTCTGTATCTTTTATCTTTTTAATGGTATATGCCTAGCAAGACAGACAAATTTCTTTTAATTCTGTAGTTAGACCAGTTAAAAAGGACTTACTTACCCTGTCTTCTTCAGCTCTTAAGTCTGGCATTGTGCTAACACAAAGGCTTATAGCTGTGGTGGCCACAAAGAGAATGGAGAGACAAGCAAAGACTTTGCCTGGGAGTCCTGACTGGGGATTTTCTACCATATCTCTGAGTCTGTTCATAAACTGTCCAAATTTGGTTTTCTCATCCAAGACACATGTAGCTTCTTTGCTCCTCCAAAGCTCCTCTTCTTTGCGTACCTCAGCCAACTCCTGCAGTTTTTGAAATAGTTTTCGAAAGCAGCAGTTCTCCAGGTTGGATTCCTCAATCCCCCAGTATCTCAGCTCCTCCTGAAAAGACAAGGCACACATGTCTCTTAAGAGCATCAGCTTCCCTGCTGCTAGAAAGCTGACAATCATTCCAAAAGCATTGGGGTTCCTGTCAAAGAAGAACTCGTGGGTGTCTTCGTCGTAATCGTCACACAGCTGAATTATTTCTTCATAGCTGCTGCAAAACTTAAGTTTGCTCAGTCTGGTCAGGGGAAATTCATCTAAAGTACTCCAGGGTAGCAGGTACTTGATGCCTCCAACATTTATCATGATCTCTGTTTTTAGATCGACTGCAGAGACTTGATCAGGATGGTAAATCCTCCTGGCTCTTTGGTAATGGACCCCTTTAACAGACGGGGTTTCAACGGAGACGGGAAAGAAGTGGCTCAAAGAATTACAAGAAGTGTAGCTAATGTTACTATAGTCTTGGTCACTGCCTCCGGAGAGAATAGGCATCTCTAAGAGTTCTCACTGGGACATCCGAAATGGCATCAGAGCAGGGTTATCTGTCAGCCAAAAGATACAGGAAGGAGGAGAAAACATAGCAGAGGTTATTGCAAGCGAAAAGTGTTTCAGGCTACTTTCCTAAATCACAAAATTAATGAGTGCCTGTTTTGTAAGTAAAAGTCACCTCTATGCTTCTTCCTGAAATCTGCAGCCTGTGAATGCGATTTGCTTTGCAGCCTCATTGGTTGTCTGGCAACACACAGACACAGAGGAGAGCTAAAGCCTCATTCATAATTATCGTGAAGGGTCGGATGCCTGCGAATCCAAACGTGAACAGATCGGTCTCTTGTCCGAGCAGATCTCGGTCATCATTAGATCGTTGTATTTTCCAGTGGTTGTCGCTTTTGCTTTCTTATTTCTATAAACCCTTAAATACATGCTAACTCAACTAAGCTGCTTAATAGTTATTAGAGTGTTGAATTACCTGCCGTCGGCTGGATGTGAAGTTCTTAATTGCTTTAACTTGAATGCTCAGATTGCAATTCCTCTTCCTTTCACTGCACGCCTGTTTTGCCTGCCTCTCGGGGGTATTGCCAGGATTAGCTAGGAGATGTTTGTAAAATGCTTTAAGAGGTAAAGTGCTGGATAAATGATGACTATTCTTATCGACCCAGTCTCATGTCACTGCAAATTACTGAGAATATATAGGGAACGTTTGCCCACCCTGGAGAAAACTTTGTTATACAGACAGAAAGCGAAGTGTTTTATCAGCTCGGGGGCAGGGGGAAGCAATATCTTTAAAGATTCAAAGGCATTTATTGCCCTAAGTCAGTGAACTGCAAAAATTGCAAGGAAACTTCCCCGAAGTTACTTACCACCGTGCCACGGGCTGCTGCCCGGTGCCTGGCTTCCCCGCAGGTGAAGTGCACATGCCGCAAACCGATCCGCCGTCCTCGGAGCTACAATCCAGCAGAAAGACCTGGGGATGTTTTATGGTATTGATTACATGAAAAATCACTGTAGCACTCTGGAGATCGCAGTCTCTTTCCTCTTTCTCTTTCTCTCCTCCTTCCCTGGAAGGGGAAAATATTCATATGTGTTCATATAATATATGTGGTGCTCCTAGATCCTTTGCAAAGGAGACAGTGTCCTAAGTGGCAGCTCCTGGGGCTTCCTGGTGACATACGGTGCGTGAGAGCTGGTGGATCCTGCCCTCTCCCCGTCTCTCCTCTGTTTCCCTTGGGACTGTCAGTGTGGGCCTGGGAGAGGAGGGGAGAGGGAAGGGGGAAGGGCTTAGAAATAATCTCTCCAGCATCACTCCGTCTATTCAGCAGGCAGCAGGCAGCAACTGGGTAAGAACATGGAGTACAAGGACAGTCTCCGACTAATGAGGTTTAATAATAAGTAAATTCTGGCAAACTTACTTAATAAAACAATTCCAATGTCTGTTAACTCCTTCCATTGTAGTCATACCACAGTTGCTTGCTCTGGAGACACCAGTCAAATTCCTCAGGAGTAGTTTCCATGTCCTGCATCCCTCTTCGAATGGGATTTGCTCTTAGATATCCCTAGATGGAGACGGAAGTTTGTTGGGTCCATGGAAGCTGGGCCTCAGGATTCCTTTGGCTACTAGGGACATGCTTTCCACCCATAAAAGAAAGGGTCTCTGGCATGTAAAGAATACCTGCTGAGCGCTCACTTTTTCAGATCTGCAGTGCTTTTCCAATAGCCGAGAACTTTCTCCTCTCTTCTTTACAGATAATGGGAAATCAAATGCAATCCGTTTCTCACTTTTCTCATACATGGCTGTAGGGGGGGTGAGCTTGCTGTAGTGCTTTTGGGTTCTGTACTGCCAGAAGGTCTTGGGCTGCCTCAGTCTAAAATTGGGATCGCATGGATTTGATCCATATTCTACTTGCTTGGTCTCAGTCAGTGGGTTCAGGAAGCCTACAATGAGATCCCATTGACAAGTACCCTCTGTTGTACTCCCAAATGCAGCAAGAAATGCCTTAGCTTATGTTTATCCCCAGTGTGGCTGAAAGCACTGAACCTGAATCCTATTACTAGAGAGGTGTGTGAATCTGGAGGATTCACATGTCCCACTGTGAGTCTGAAGGTCGCGTGGAGAAGCGTTATGAGCTTGGATCACAGAGCTGCTTTTCTGCCATTTGCACAGTGGGTTCAGGGTGCAGATGGTGCCCTGTGCTGCTTACCCTCCTAATGCCTGTGGGGCTGGTGCAGGGCTGGACCAACACACCTCGGAAGCGGATGCTGCAGCTGTTTATCAGTGCTGAGCAATGCTATGGCACAGCCTAGGACGGGCAGCCTTTGCTAATTGAACTTTTTGGCACATCTCTTTTGGCCCACGTGGTGCCCAGAAGATTAACTTCTTATCAGGCTTTACCACTGGGGTTTTCACTCAAGTCCTAATTATGCCATCCACAGAGAAAGACCAGACAGATGCCTGAAGGCAACGGAGTTCTGGGAGCATAGCTCAAAATCACTTAAATCCTACCACCTTTATGCAAGACGCAGTTTGCTCTGCCTATCAGTCTTACTTAGGGATTATTTTTGCAAAGAAAACGCAAACCTGTTCTAATTAACTTTGGATGGACTGTTTCACAAAAGGATAAAACCAATTAGCATTTCCTTCTTACCTTCTGACGCCCTTACGTGATGATGTTAAAGGCTGTATTTCTGAAACCAGCTGACTGGTGAATAAGAAGGTGAATAAATCCAAACCAATGAGTAAATATCGTACACGATTGAGTAATTTGAGTGTTACACTTATTTATGAAGAAATACATATATTTTAATTTTTAAGACTTCACTTCCAATACTGGGCACTCTAATATTTGCTTTATTGGGATCTGCAGCTGTGTCTGGATCTAGATCAGGACCTTGTTGCTGGTTAGAACCATACAAGTATCTGTCAGTCGGTCCTTAAGAGGCATCTGTCTTCGCAAATGAGACAGAGAAAGGATAGAAATATTTTTATCTGGATTTTATTAATGGGAGATGAAGGCACAAAAAAGAGAAGTACTTTATGTGGTGTCTGGGGAAGGCAGGTCCTGAACCCAACTCTGAGGGTCTTAACCATGCATCTCGCCTCCGAAGCTGTCCTTCCGCCCTGGCCAGCCTCTGCCTTCTGCTCTCCTGGACCCCACTACCATGTCGGTATGAGAGGCGCCTCAGTACTGGGGTATCTAAAACCATTAATGCTGACACCACAAAATTGAAATATCTCCCCAGGGAGGAAAGGCATATTCCTGGCTCAATTTTAACCTCTGCTGACTTATTTTTTCACTTTTTTTTTTAGTTTGTCTTTCATAACTACTGCTGTAGTTTTCCTGCTAAATTCCCTTTTGATTTGCCCTATTCAATATGAAGTTCATAATCTTTATTCTCTTGTTCTGTTCTCTATTTCCCTTACAGTTTCTGGAATTGCTCTTTCCTCGCTCCTTAGCCATATGGTCATATCAACTTCTTTTACATACCCTTTATGCCTTAAATGCAGTTTCCATATGCTTCATTTGTTTGTTGACATGAATGACAGTCCCGTCTCCTCCCTGTTGTTTCCCCCCTTTTGTTGTTTTGCCATTCTACTCTAATTTGTTGTAGACCTGCCTTTCCCATCCCCTTTATGCAACAAGGGCAACATGTTACTGCAGAGAAGAAAGCTGAGCAGAAGAGGTAGTTCTCACCCAGATGGCTCCAGGGACAAAGCAATTACACACTGTTGTACAGTTCTCTTGGCCGGACTAACCCTAGCCCTATGTAAACCAAGGTTAAAGCCTCAATCTAAGCTGTATGGTAATTGATAGTGTAACTCTTATTGAATTCAAATTCAAACATGCACAGCAGAGATCCACTAGGCTGGCTTGAAAGCTTATGGGTATGATGGTGCAGTTATCGTCACGTCCCTCTGACATGCACAGGAGAATCTGGTGAGAGGCACCCATTACTGTGAGCAGAGTTTTCTTACATAGCTCAATAATGAAATCATTTTCAGGACTAAGATTTAGATACTGAAAATAGTTAAATTCTGTAGAAGATGAGAAGGCCAGTGACGTTCACTGTCACTTGCTTACCTCTGATTTCATCTCCTATGTTTTGTTCTCTGCAATTATGCCAGAATCCTGTATCATGCAGCAGATACATACAGAATATAGATATACAGAAGCAAGCACAAAATATAATAATAACTGGAGAATTTATTGGCATATGATATTGTGGTGGCCAAAAGTGTATTCAGAAAATGGCTGAGCAGATTTGGGCAAGGAAGGTCCACCAGGTAGATCCAACGTCTGGCACAGCAAGTCAGTATTGCTGAGCAGCAGGGAGATATTCTACCACAACGTATATGCTTTCCCTGTTCTGGTTTTTCCTAGGTTTTTGATAGCTGATGTACATGGGAGCTGCATAGACCCTGGTGTGACCCTGTGGAGATGTTCTTATGCTGAGAAGCCTGAGGAGGGTGGCCTAAGCTCTACTAGTTTGGTCATGCGCTTCTGGGTTGATCATGCACTACTTACCTGACAGCATTTCTCTGTCAGAACATCAAAAAAGAGCTGAAGATGAAACTCTGATTATATCTGTATCTGCATGTATATATATATATTCAAGACTAATGATGACTGTGCATAATGGGCAATCTCACAAAGGGCTAGATGGTACACTCTGAAATTGTATGTGCTTGTAGGTCTTCCAATCATTCTGCAGGGAGCAGGCATGTAATTTAACAAAGCCACTGTTGCCAATCTTCCTTCCTTCCCAACTGCGCTTTTTGTAATGCTTAAATATAATACAGAGATAATTACTTCACCTGGCATGTATAACAGAAGACACATTTCAGGCTTTTAAAGTCAGAGAGAATACAAAAGTGTAAATCAAAATAATTATTTAAGGAAATATGAATTCACTGAAAAAAGGAGAAAATAAGAAAGAAAGAAATTAATTTTAAAAAACCTATACTGTCTTCATTCATCGGCTTAGAAATTATCCCAGTG